GAACAAAAATCTCTTGGCCACTTTCTGGAGTAATATATTTTTAATAAGAATATTAAAATGTAACGTAAATTATGGATTTTTTGATATTGATGAAAATTCAGAAGATTTAGGCATTAAAAGACTATATACATAATAGTTACGGTATAATAGTCTGATTGGAAAGAAAAATACAATTCTACTTTGTTGATCTACAGCCACATCTTCAAAAAAAAAAAAAAAAAAAAAAATAATTAGGTTCTATGGGAATTGACATCATGAGATTATTCAACTTTTTCTGTATCATTTATTAACACAGTTAACCTTGCAAGGAATACACTTCTGGATAAAAAGATAATATCGAATGATATATAGTAGAACCTCGATTATCTGAACGCCTGTTATCCGAATTTTCTACTATCCGAACGATTATTGGAACACATTTCTCTGCAAGAATTTTTGTTAACGATCGAGCAATTTAAAGGACTGCTATTATATAGTGGCATAGGCTCGCTTAGGCATGAAATGTGTGATACTAAGAGGAGCACGAAGTAAATTAGCTACACTGAGGACACCACACAGGAAAAAGTGAAAGATTATATTATAACAGACGTAGAAGAAACTCTATATCGAATACAATACCAGGGTTCGGTAAATGTGACGACATAATAGAATGCTTTCAATATGATGAATCGTCTTCAATTGACCGTGATACTGACGTAATGTGCGCTTCGAGTAATGTATTGAAACACGAATAGAATGCTAATGACGATATTCCTCAACGTTTTCAAGTATTTGAGGCTTTAGAAATAAAGCTAAGATGGCAAGTGAGAGAAAAGAAATATAACTTTACCAAAATCTGGTAAAGAAATTCGATCATTTATATTACTATTAATATTTTTTTTTTATTTACTATTTTGTTATTAATGTTTATGTTCGTTTTCAAAATACATATGATATATGACGATGAACATCAGGAAAGTAACTGTTCCATTATTCAAAAATTTCCTTATACGAACACCTATATCCCCTATTTCGGATAATTGAGGTTCTACTGTATACATTTCGGGGATCGTTGAAATACCCGATATAGATTTCACCGACAACTATTCATCGACGCCAGATTTGACCTACACAAACTTGACCGACATCATGCATTACTCACACCAGACTTGATCCACATCATGCTTGATTGACATCAGATTGATATCAGAACTGCCAGGTATCAGACTTGATTGACATTAGAATTGACCGATACTAAACTTGATCCACATCAGACTTGACCGATACTAGACTTAACTGACATCAGACTTGACAAATAGTAGACTTGACACCAAATTTGATCATCATACTGGATTGATATCAGAACTGACCGGTACCAGACTTGATTGACATTAGAATTGAGAGATACCAAACTTGATTGACATCAGAATTGACTTGAGATATCATTGATATCACAGAATTAAGATATCACACCTGATTAACATTAAGATTGACCGATAATAGACTTGACCAATAAGAAACTTGACCGACACCAGACTCGATTGACACCAAACTTGACAAATAACAGACTTGACCGACACCAGACTTGATCCACATCAGACTTGACCGATACTAGACTTAACTGACATCAGACTTGACACCAAACTTGATCATCATACTGGATTGGTATCAAAACTGACCGGTATCAGACTTAATTGACATTAGAATTGACCGATACCAAACTTGATTGACATCAGAATTGACTGATATCACACTTGATTGACATCAGGATTGACCGATACTAGACTTAACTGACATCAGACTTGACAAATAGTAGACTTGACAGCAAACTTGATCATCATACTGGATTGATATCAGAACTGACCGGTATCATACTTGATTGACATTAGAATTGAACGATACCAAACTTGATTGACATCAGAATTGACTGATATCACACTTGATTGACATCAGGATTGACCGATAATAGACTTGACCAATAAGAAACTTGACCAATAAGGAACTTGACCAATAAGAAACTTAACCGACACCAGACTCGATTGACACCAAACTTGACAAATAACAGACTTGACCGACACCACACTTGATCCACATCAGACTTGACCGATACTAGACTTAACTGACATCAGACTTGACACCAAACTTGATCATCATACTGGATTGGTATCAAAACTGACCGGTATCAGACTTAATTGACATTAGAATTGACCGATACCAAACTTGATTGACATCAGAATTGACTGATATCACACTTGATTGACATCAGGATTGACCGATAATAGACTTGACCAATAAGAAACTTGACCAATAAGGAACTTGACCAATAAGAAACTTAACCGACACCAGACTCGATTGACACCAAACTTGACAAATAACAGACTTGACCGACACCACACTTGATCCACATCAGACTTGACCGATACTAGACTTAACTGACATCAGACTTGACACCAAACTTGATCATCATACTGGATTGGTATCAAAACTGACCGGTATCAGACTTGATTGACATTAGAATTGACCGATACCAAACTTGATTGACATCAGAATTGACAAATAGCAGACTTGACCATCATTAAATTGATCGATACTAGATTTGATTGGCATCAAAATTGACCGATAGTAGACTTGACCAACACCAGATTTGATTGACACCAGACGTGACAAGTAGCAAACTTGACAAACAGCAGATTTGAGTGACACCAGATTTGACCAATAGTAGACTTGATCGATAAGAAACTTGACCGACACCACATTTCACCGACGGTAGTTTTGGCCAACAACAACTTTGACTGGCAATTTTGACTAGCAATAACTTTGAAGGGTAACAGCTTTAACTGACTGGCAGAATTAACACAGAAAAGTAGGAGAGGATTGTTACTTGTGTAGGTTTAATGCTGCAGATAATTGATAGGATTAAACAAGTTGACCTAAACCTAATACCATGGATAAGCTGGCTAGCAATTAAATATTTTGGTTTGATTTCTATTAATTTATGGTAAGTTTGAGTGTAATTTTAACACAAATCAATATGAATTTCATGGTCTGCTTTAGGTTTGTCTTTGGTCTAGTCTTTTTAATCCGGCCACCGTAAGGCAGCCGGCCATCAATTATCCGCAGTAATAAATCTACGTGAATAAGTAAAAATCCTCTTTCATTTCCCTGTGCTAATACTGCCAGTCAGTTAAAGCTGTCGTCGGCGAAATCTGGTGTCGGTGAATAGCTGTCGGTGAAATTCCTGTCGGTGATTTCAATGGAACGCATAAATTTCATCTTTTCATGTAATAATGTAATATGCATACTGTGTACAGTTACAAATTTGGTTTCTGTAATTTGTGTCTCGACTTATTGAAACAACTCGTAGATCTATAAAAACATTAAGACGTCTACTTAGGAACGAAAATGGAGATTAAAATGTAACTGTGATTCGTAATGATGCAGCTTTTAACAAAACCTCCATTGTTTCTAATTACTGTAGTCGTTAGCAAAGAATTATTTCAGACGCTAGATTATCTTTCCTTGAGTCACTATTTCAATCCATTACCATGTACAAAACAAAGCGTTGTCTTTGTAAACATTTTGCCTTTACAAACAATTTACCTAAATCATTCTCGACAATTATTTATAAAAATATTTACAAATCTGAGGAGCTAATACGAGAGTATATTTTCGTGTGGAAAATATGCTTCAACGATCTTGTCACTACGCTATTAAAATCACCTGCTTTCAACTTTGCGCTGTTGCATATTAGATCAAGACGTTTAGTGTAATAAATTTAATTTCAAACAAATGCAACAATAATCGTTTCGTAATTATCGCTGCTCATTCAGTTCATCATGCTATTTTATACATCTGTGTGACGATGCATCTTTGCTACCATCTCTTTGTATACACGAAGATGACAATTTAGTAACCAAAATTATGGAGACGATGATACGTAAACTATATTAGTATGTAATTTTCAAATTTATTTCTCCTTTACTCCTATAATGCTTTCTTGATTTTGTTTTTTTGTAAAGAGCAGCAGATTGCGTTTATATAGCTTTTTTAAAACATTTATTATCTCTAAATATCTATAGCACACAAGGTGTCTCATTTTAACCAACCCACGCAAACATCTCCTAAATAACACCTTATTTAAAAAGTTTCCTCACGTAAAACTTGTTCTGCTTGAAGGGGAACATTTTAGGATGATCACCAGATTTGTCTAAGTGTTTCTTTAAATGGAACTATATATTTTTTCGGTACACCGTTTGATGCAATTTTCAATCCTCTACGAAAAAGGCATTAAGGTACTTGTATCTGAAAACTAGCTTAGAACTCGCTATGAACGACAAGGAAAGCATTGCGCCATCTTTCCTTCTTTTTTATACCATAAGTGTTACAAGATTAGAGTCGAAATATCTTTTAAAATAAGCATATTCCCATCCAAGTACTTGAAACTTTTCAACCCACCTGTTAGACTTTACAATCGCCGAAGAAAACGTGTATAAAGACAACAAATGGTCTGAAATTGCTTTAATGCTTTCTTAACGTCTAGGTTAATCGAATACCAGAAAAGATTATTCTTAAAAATCACAGTTGCAATTTCGTATATCATTTTTATTCCTAAATAGATATTCGACTGTTTTATCGTTTCGTCTTCTCTTCCTCGCGAATTATTTCGACAAATTAAGCGATAAATCGCAGAAATCAACCGTGATAATATATCGAAGATATTAATTTAGAAGATAATAATCATACTTCGTTCCTTCAACGTAAGAAATCACACGAATATATTGTTAAGAATCGAATGATAACATAAGTGCGCTATCTCTTTATCCGTGATTGTAAATCATGTTAATCAGACGATCCATCCTATATAAAATATCTTATTACGCGTAAATCTAATTTGAATTTTTCTTTCCAAAGCCGTTCGTATTTAAACAGCGTTGAGAAAATATTAACGATAATTAGTCGTTGATGTTTCGCCGAATAATATAATACAAATTCGTAAGTGACATGCATAAAGTGCTACTTACCGATCAAGCTTTCATTTCGAGACTTTATGCTCATTCCATTGGAATCCAAAACTTCTACTTGCTGTCTTACTTCTGTCGTGATATACACGGGTATACAAAGCACAGGACAGAAAATATAGGCGATCGAAATCGCAAAAATAGTTCTCTTGTAACTACACCACTCTCTGTTTTGTTGCGGCCTTGCTACCGCCACGTATCTCCACACAGCCAGTATCAAAGTTAAACAAATTGAAATGGTGTGACAAACCTGTGGATATTACATTGGAACTCTGTGAATTTATCTGCATTGTTGCTCCTTTTTGTTAAATCGATATTTTCCAATTACGAATCGTATGCTTATTTCCTCGATTGATTTACGTCGGAGAGAAAAATGTTTATGACAGTAACATTCGCTATAAATACCGAGCAAACTTCCACGAGTTCTACTTTTTTCCTCTCTGTTTAAATCACAGTGAAACTTTGCAGAACATTGGTTGGTTCCAATGCACGTGGTAACTGCTTTGGTTAGAAAAGTTAGGCTAAGTATTTTAAAACTAGTCTACTGCTAATGCTAGTGTTTTTACTAGTTTATTACCAACACTAGCATTTTGATACTAATATATTACCAATACTAGTAATTTTAATATCACAGTCTGATTTGAAGAAAATGAAATTAACATGAAATAAAATAAAGATAAATAATGTTGGACTGCAATTTGGTTTTTAATTAAAGAAGAAGGCGAATCCAATATATTGTATATTGGATTGATTGGTGTTCAAACATATAGGTCGATTCTCATCAAACAAAGCAAGGAAACGACGGTTCAGAAAGAATGCGATGAGCCATAAATACCAAACGATTTTATAGGTCACTAGTACGATAAACACATTGCATTATTTAACACGTATTTTCGAAATGAAATTTTAATTCCATATGACAAAATTACCTCGAACCCACGTATTCTGAAGTCAGCCTCAAGTAAGTTAAATTTCTACCAAATGTTCTAATTTTGTTTAACTATGTACGTAATACACAGACAACTGGAAAAATTTGCAACTTTCCTCTTCTTTCCTTCTCCTTCCTTCGTAATAATAAATTGTTACGTTTTGTGGAAACTTACAGTAGGAACTGCAGCATCCGAACACCTATTATTTCGAATATTACGCTATCCGAACGTTCTATTAACGGAACGATATTTCTTGCTCGCGTTCTTTACTATTACACGTATTTTCTCTAATTTCCTGTTACTTTCCTATTGTCTTAATACGAAACTAATACGCGTGTAATATATTGTGTATAGTGGGATCAACGAGAAAACGTGTTGCATCGAATATCGAAAGGAAAGGGAAAGATACTCGAATAGTTAGAAAAACGTACGGCAGTGTTGCCAAAACTACAAAAATTTACAACGTTGGTAGACCTGTAATTAATGGCGTCAAAACCAGGTGTTTCATGAAGAAGTAGAAAAACCTTAATGCACATGAAAAATAATAAAAAGTAATAAATCAGAGAAAATGGAATGCCAGTATCTACATATATATTATACGTAAAAGTTTTGGAATGTAGATAAAAATTATTATCAACGTTTTAGGTCCTTGTGTTGGAAAATAGAAGATTATAGTAAAAGTGACGATGCGGAACCTCTCTATTGAGTTGTACGGAAAGTTCGTTTCGTTTTTCAGTTTCAGGCCATACTGAAGAACGCGTTTTCTTCTTTACGTGCATCGTTTTCAATCAATGTACGCACCATTCCTTTCGATAACTTTTCGCCTTCCGTGTGGTAACTTGGTCATCCTATTGGTGTGCAAGTGCTTAGTCTTCCGAGGAAAAGAAACGTTCCAGTTTGTTTTTCCAAAGAATGATAAGTTCTTGTCGTTGAGGTAGTTTTATAACAAGCGAGACAAGCGATAGTCTGAGCGTGCAAGATCGTGAAAATATGCTACACGCGATAAAATACCCTATCCAAGTTGCGTCATCATTTTTGTCGTGTGCCGATTGACGCATTTCGTCTCGCGTTTCCTTGGTGAACCATGTTCGAATTTGTGCCAGATCAACAAGAAACAAGTCGTTCCAAAAATATTCGTTTCACATTCGACTGTTGATTAATCGACAATATTAAGTTCGACCAATTGAATTGTGGTTAAGGACCATTGTCTAAACTCAGACCCATCTCGCTAAGAAAAACGGAAGGAACTTTATGTTCGGCCTAATATTTCTAACAAATGTTTATGACGTTAGAAGCGTTAGTTTGAGCCATATACAGTAATATACTGTAATTCAACGTAGTTCAATGTATTAACAAAATTTGATGCAGTAGCGAAAAGGATATAGGATTTATAAATAATTTAAAAAACATTACACTTTTTCGTTTTATAAGGAAATTCAACATTCTTTGTTTTATATTATTTTATTGAATTATGTCTGATCATAATGATAGAAATAGAATGGAATGAAACATAGTTCAACAAAATAATATAAAATAAAAAATGTCGTGGATTATTTCCTTGCAGAGCGAAAGAAATTTCTGGGATAACCTGATATTATTGATATTGAAATATAGAATAATAATGAAAAAAAGACGCGAGTTCCATTACTCGGAACTCGAACGGTTATGCCTCCTCGTTAATTCGGATACTGCAGGTTCCACTGTATTTTATTCGACACAATCATTCTTCACTTTGAGGCTTTCAAATTTTTTAACAAATCATCGACATTTTCAGCGACGAATTTGCCTATCGGCTCATCAGACAATTCATAGAATTTCCAGGCAAAGTTATCTAAGAACCAGGAACATGAAGTGGAAATTCGTACTCTTAAAGAGAAAGCAGTTTTAGCTTTCGTTAGTTAATTAGTTTCTTGTTATTGTTTAATTTGAGCCGTCGTCGTTTCAAGACGCTGCTCTCCAATTTATCGATCAAAGAGCAGAAAACGATGAACGATTTCTTTTCAAATGGAAACGAAGCAAATGCCACGCTAATTTCTGAAATCTACTTGGCAGTTACCATCAGTCGACGACAAATAATAACTTCTCGTTTTCGCACGTTACGGAAATTCGTCGAACCACGTAAATTCTTCGTGCAACCTCAATCAGACTGGACCTTATTCCTACAATCAACAATCGAGCAAGCCAACTGCCATTCTTTTCAAGATAGAAAAGCTACACTGTTCCAAGCGAGGAGCCAATTTCCTCCGCTGGTTAACCACGAGCCTAACTCCATGGTTTATCATTAGATCTCGAGCACGCGGATCGCTGTACTTTACGATATATACAACAATTCGGCAAATGCGTTTTTCCTACACGATTCGAGAAACAGACGCGCGTTCTGTCGTTCGTTATGTCTACCCATCATCAATTCGCGTACCGAAGATTACCCGGCATAGTCGAACTTGCAAGCAAAAGCAACTTCTTAATGGAATCTGTTAATCTCGATGTTAATTAATTTAATCGTGTTAATTGTCCGTTACCTGTGCGAAATTCGAATGGAACAGCACAAAAATCGTCCATCCGTAGGTGAAGGTGTCCCTTCTTGATCGCCGATACAAATAGAGGTGAAACGCGTACGGAATGTAATCGATCATGACGAGCAGATCAGCCACGGCCAATCCCGTTAAAATTATATTGGTTGGTGATCGCATTTCCCGGCGAGTCAGGACAAGAATGTTTAAAATGTTGGCGATCGAACCGAAAATACAAACGAAAAGAGAAATCCAGCCGTGCAGCCGCGAGTAATAGGAATGAAACGACGATAAATCGCAAACGTAGTAGCTGGTCGATGCGTTGAAATCCATGATCGTCTGAAATACACTAGCTATTCTTTTATCTCTCTCGTCTTTTAACGGCCCTCGTCGTTGCTCGTCTGCCGGCTGGTCTTCGATAAGTAATTATCCTAATGGGATATCTTCGATGATCTTCGATGTTCGAGTGTTCTGCTCGCAACGGTAATTCCGCGTAAACGAACGTGCTTCTTCTTCCTTTCTCCAGGTACAGAAATGTTTTCCGAGGGAAATCCCTTAAATATCACGATATCGATCCTTCGAATTTCGTCCTTCGAGTTTGCCCGCAAATTAAGACGATAATGAGAAAACGAGAAAAGAAAAGCGATACATTTTTGTACGTTTTGCTAATGCTGTTTAAACCATCAGGAAGAAAGAATGAATCATTAAGATGAAATAATTAGGAACATACGTATGGACGAGTATTTCTGGTAGTTTGCGTTATTGTTAGAAACTTTCTCTCTCTGTCGTTTATTGTTCTTTATCTTTAGAACCGTGCACAGAGTTATTTGAGAATTTGTTGCACTGCTGTGCTTAGTCCTCGAAGAAATCCTCTTTGGCCTTCCTTTACGACTTCCGTTCTTTTATCCTTGAGACTTTAGAATCTGTCGGGAAATCGCCGCTTATCCTTAATGATGTTCTTCGAATCAAAGGAAAATTAAGGCTCTGTGTGCTGGTGGATTAGTCAGCGGCATATTTTGCAATTTCGATCTTCTCATAGGAATCGAATGACGGTTCGATCGAATCGAACAGTTTGCCTTTCATCTATATGGCCGTTTCTATTTTCAAATGCGATTTACCATTTCGATCGTGCGCTTTCAAGAAAGACACTGGAAAATTCCTCTCGTTTCGTACGATTGTTCTAGCGAGCACATTTAACGGATCGACAGTTTTTAATTTTTTATTTTCCCTTCTTATTAACAAAACGCAACTAAAACGCGAACAGTTAATACACTACGATTAATTTAAATTTTCATTTACGTAATTAAGTATCTTTTTTTTTTTGTTTCTCCTTTTATTTTGTAGCTGTTGTAAACGATTGAAATTTAAACCGAATGGAAGACACACAACGAGATGCAACAAGCGAGCAATTGGAGAAACGAACGACGCAACCGTGACGAAGAACGTCGGAACCGAGCGACGTCGGCCAAGCTAATGTCGCCGCGACGCTATCCCATGTTGCAGCCGCCCCGAAATTTTAACGCAGACGCAGATCATTTCCCTGTCTCTCGCTCTTTCTCCCTTCCTCTTTCATTCCGATTTTCTCTCTTTCCCTTCCACCCTTAGTCTTCTATTTATCACGCGACTCATCTACTTAATAATTCTTTGTCTTATTCTTTTCTACATTCATATATTTCCACATGGGCATATTCGTTTACGCGTGGGATAATTGCGCCAAGTTTGGAACATCTGATTTTAAGAGTGGCGGCCCAAAGATAGAAACATTCTTCTCTTTCAACGAAACTAACGTTAACACACCAGGCAGTTAATAGATATTCGTGCGTTAACCAGTAACCATCGCAGAGGACAAAGGCGGAGGAAAGAACAACTACTTTGTTCACACTATATACAGTTTTTTCATAAGAATTAATTATACTCTTTTGTTAGTTCGTTTTGTTTCGCCTTGGCCTGCAAATATTCAAAACATCTTAACATTCACGAATGCATTTTAGCTTTCGCTAAAATTGCAATTTAAACAGTAAATTCGAACTACTTTTTACGCGTGACGAGTATACTCGTCGTAATGCAAACTAGTGCCGTTTCTTGGTGACGAGTATACTCGTCGTAACACAAAATAGCGCAGTTTCTTCGCGATGAACATACTCGTCGTGACGCAAACCAGTGCCGTTTCTTCGTGACGAGTATACTCGTCGTAACGCAAACTAGTGCCGTTTCTTCGTGACGAGTATACTCGTCGTAACGCAAACTAGTGCTGTTTCTTTGTGACGAGTATACTCGTCGTAAAACAAACTAGTACCGTTTCTTCGTGACGAATATACTCGTCGTAACACAAAATAGCGCAGTTTCTTCGCGACGAACATACTCGTCGTAACGCAAATTAGTGCCGTTTCTTCGTAACGAGTATACTCGTCGTAACGCAAACTAGTGCCGTTTCTTGGCGACGAGTATACTCGTCAAAAACAGCTAACTGGCTAATAATTAACTGAGGGCAAGAGCCAAAGTATCTAGATGTAAGAAATATAAAAAATGTCCAATCTGGCGAGTTAAAAGAATGGTATTTAATTGATATGGAACTGCTAGGAAATTTGCAAAGAAATCTCAAAGAACTTTATTTTCGAACGAATATCTGAACGAAGAATGAATATTTGTTTAAATAAAGAAATCAAATGAACGAATATGTCTTGCTTTTTTATCTTATATTATATCAAAGGAGTGCAGCACCGACCAAAATTAGTTCTGGCTTTTTTCACCTGATATTAGCACTTTATTTGAATGAAGCGATGAATATAACAATTCTGTGTAACATACAATGAGCCATATTGTTTATTCAATTATTTTTGCCGTTCTGACACCTCAAACGTACACGTTGATATTCCGAGTGTCAAAAATTATTTTCCAAATCTGATATTTTATTTATCGTTCATTATGTTTATTATATCTAACCTATTAAATGTAATTACTAGTCGCAACTTTGCGATCTTATTTCTACGTTATATGCACTATAATATAAAACGTTTCCACGTGTTTGTCGTCCAAGCAAGACCGACCGACCGATTGTCGTCCAGTATCGACCAATCAAGCGTCGACTAGTACACACCGCATCTTTTTCATCTGCAAGTTCAATCTGTTGACAGGTGAAATTAAATTAGAAGATTCGTTCAATCTTTCTTGTACCTTTTCGCGCAGAAAAATATCTGGAGTTCCAAAGCACAAAAGAAAAGTAGGCAGAGAGGAATATGAATGCGGCTTTGAAGCTAGTCCTCGGAAATAAAATGATCCAGAGACAGGCTACTGAGGCTTTCAGTGTTTCAAAAACGACGAATGAGAAGACTGCACACATGTCCGATGCACACATTACGAAAATATTAATTACTTTCCTTGTGATATACAATGTGTCCGATTTATCTTGAATCACACAAGTATTTCTAGAAACATAAATGATACAAAAAAATTGCACCATATCGACAAGCATGTATTATGTTCTTGCGTACTTGACCTTGCGGTGACCTCGAATCATCCTGCGAAGGCCAGGTTAAAATTTTTTATTTCATATTTTTCATATTATTTATTTTTTATTTCATTTTTTATTACATATTCTTACGTTCGACGTTCAGATATTCTCAAAACACCAGAAACTCGTGTCTTTTGCATCATTCGCTACAGAGATATGAACTTTAAAATTCGATCTATTCGCCGGTACTAACGCTACTCAATGTACATTACAGGGATACGTAAAGGCGCTTTTCATAACGCTGCTACTGAAATGGCGTTGCCGAAACGCAAGGTCGCAGTTTTCTAATTTTTCAAAACAACCAGTCAGTTTCGAGCAATCGTTTTTAGGTTAGGCGATTCCTCGTATTGCTCCGCCGAATTTGTTTTTTAAGTTGATCGCGGATAGTGCAAAAGACACGACTTCGTAGTGTTTTGAAAACGTTCGAATGTCAGCTACAAGAATATGTTGTAATACCAGACGGAGGTGTTAACCTAAAAACTGTAATATAGCTTTCACAGGAGGTCACCGCAAGGTCAAATACACAAAAGTATAGTACGAGCTCCCCCATGCTATGGATTTTCTGTCCGAAACATTTTTTCGTACCATTCATGTTCTGCCAGATGTTTGTGCGATTCGAGATAAGCCAGGCACACTGTATATAAGAATACAATTTGAATAGAAACGTGTATTCTAACTTCTAAACATTGTTTTTTTAAAGTTATTAATCATTTAAGCTGGAATATCTACTAATCAAATAATCGATCGGTACTGGACGACAATTTTTCGTTTCCCACAAATTACAACATTTTCATTTGTGCAAAATTTCAATTATTATCATTGAATTTCACGAAATTAATTTCGTTTCTTCCATCAAGCTCTATTTGCACAGCAAACTCATTTTAAAAATTTTCCTTTGATAAAATTCTCTAGCAACAAGAGTTTGCTAGAGATCTACTCTAGTTCAAGATATAAGAATGAAACTTAGGGCGGTCGGTAGTGCACGAATCTCCCCTATATTAATTTTCTTTGTCTCCTAAACGTTGAACACGTGAATGACGCATCTGAAGCGCATTCTTCGTGATCTCACTGAAAACAGCGGATATATGAGATCCATCTTTCACTATCATTCTTTCTTATATTATATCTTATTCTTACACTATATCTGCTTTGTAATATCCGCTACAAAATAAACGTAATTCTGTGTCGTCATTCGTAACACTATCATTGACACGTTCCGTTATTACGTACGTAACTCTCAACATGTTCCATATTAGGCACGTACGTATTTCGATAGGAAAATAATAATTACCCTAAGAAGAAGATAAGTTCAATCGTAAATTTCTTTCGACCACCGAAAAACAAACACGTTTTATGATAAATCACGCAAGAACATTTTGTAACTTGCGTTCGCTAAACAATGTCACTGTTTCGCTCGCCTCTCGAAAACCTTCATACGCTTTCAAACACGACAATCGACTACGTTCAACGACGCAGTTCCAAGCGAAGGTCAAATGCGAACATGCTTGTATTTTGCTTTTCACGAAATACTTGACACCGTTGCCGATCGATTTGGCTAGTTTCTCGCCAAGATATCTCAATGTTCCAAATTATTAAGCACAGTTGCTCCAGATATACGTAAATAATTCTGTTAACTTATTTCCTATCGTCCGCTCTATCGATTATTCCTGATCGCCTTTACTTTCCAGCATCGACGCTTCTATTCACAGCGCGATCATCCGAGATTTCCTGCAAGATGTAACGATTGCAGTGACGGCCCATAAATCCTGAATTTTATTAGACTTCACTGAATCCCAGAGAAGTTCGACTACGCTGCATGCTGTATGTTTTGGTCAGCTTGTCGATACCATCGCTCGTACTCGTTACCTTCGTCTGAACGTAGAAAGTTGCAGTTGCGATTTTACAGTTCTGAGCGTTTAATTATATATTTCTCTAGTGGGAGGTGACAGGGCGCTTCTGGCGCGGAAGGTTAATCATCAGATCATCTTCCGTGCAATTTCGATCTTTACTTTGACTATACTTGAGATAATTATACATGCAACGTGAGCAGAATTAAGTGAACGTTTTTCTAAAAAAGAATAATTTTCTTTAAAATTGATTTTTTTAGAAATAGTTTACTAAATGATGCGCGAAAGAAATTTTGGGAAAGTTACGGTTGGTCGGAATCCTGCAGGAAAATAGTGCACTCTTTACGACTTTTTTATCTGAGAAATGAAAATTTGGACGACACGGTTCCAAGATTTATCAACAATTCGTGAGTTGTTTGCATGCTGAAGATTTGTTTTAATTAATTAACATTTCTATGAGCTACAAACAGTTAAATATGGCAAATATTAGTTCATATGTGTCCAGACTGCTGACACTTTGGTCAATTTGTAGTGTCAATATATGAGTATTATTAAAATATATAAATTAATAATAAGTTAATAACTAGAAACGACACTTGCCACCTTCTCAGATCAACGAGTTACTAACAGTATATTGAGAAATTATTTCATTTATATACCAGTGCTCAAAATATCATTGACTTGGTCACGATAGCCTTGTTCGTTTAAGATTGAGGTTAGGTTGCTCGCTCGATGATATTCGTTATAAGATTGCGCGATACTGCGGTACTGATACTAATTGTTATGCTGATTCGTTAGACTTATTCGCTTGACTGATGATCTCGATAACTCGATACTGATATTGATTCGCGCGACTGACGATGTCTGGAGAACATGGTCGTCTATTTGTACTGGTTGGGGGGTACCGGAAGGTTTGAACTTGGCTCCGGTTGACGGTTGCACGTAGCAGAGATATTGCTTTGTCCAGAGTTTGTTTATTACATTATGCGCGTCGTACAGTGTTAATCCTCTGTGGCAAAACAACTACGTGAGGCATCTTCGAATCGAAACGTCCTGTGTTGCTACAAATAAAACTATCCCATAACGTTTGACATTTATAAATAAATAAATTTTGCTGTTGCGTATTAGTTATCATAAATCAATTATACCGTGTCATAATATTCCATCACATCAGAACATTTATTGTCATTGTCATTGTCATTGTCATTGTTGGGTCTCAGTAACTTTTACTCGATAAGTATGTTATTTTCCTTATAAAAATGCAAATGGATGAAACAAAATGTTGCTTATCATATAACTTTACATTAAGCCGCTATTTTTCAATAAAATTGCCGAGTATCTGCAAATTGTAATGTCGAGGAATCAATTTACTAATTGTGTATCAAAAAAATTCACATCTAATTTTCCAATATTATTTTTAGGCTACTTAATTCGTTTCATTATCTTCTTTTCACATGATTTTCAATCGTATCGTTGTACGTTTAGATTTTATATGTATGTGCCACATAGATATTGCAGAGTAATAGGTGCGCATTACATGGTGGATATTCCCATTGTACCCGTTGAAATTTACATAACAGCCCTTGTGTTAACAACAGACACAGAATCGAGGTACCCTTCCTTTGTGACATTCATCACTAATCTTCTTAATCTCTCTATGCTAATAAACTCTAGGTTTCGAGTGCTTAGTACAATGATTGACGACTCCAAGTATTTTCTGCTGACATACGCAGATTGTCATATCTCCATATTTTATTTTTAATATTTATTATATTTTATTATCACACAGATACCAATATTTTATTACTAATTATCCAAATTAATTGGGAACAGCCTGTTCAGATAAAGGAATTTTTGCATAACAAAACTGTTACTTTCCTGATGTCCATCTTCAAAAAAATGCTCATCTTTGAAAGTTTATCTTTGTTCTTTGTATTTCAAAAGAGAAGATAAATTTTATAATAGTCATACAAATTATAAAACTAAATAAAAAGATGTTCATCTTTGAAAGTTCACTTTTGTTCTGTTTCAAGGGAGAACCTAAATTGTAGTAATAGCAATTCAAATAATTCAATTAAACAGAAACATATACATCTTTGAAAGTTTATCCTTGTTCTTTGTATTTAAAAAAAGAAGACAAATTTTATAATAGCCATACAAATTATAAAACTAAATAAAAAGATGTTTATCTTTGAAAGTTCACTTTTGTTCTGTTTCAAGGGAGAACCTAAATTGTAGTAATAGCAATTCAAATAATTCAATTAAACAGAAACATATACATCTTTGAAAGTTTATCCTTGTTCTTTGTATTTAAAAAAAGAAGACAAATTTTATAATAGCCATACAAATTATAAAACTAAATAAAAAGATGTTTATCTTTGAAAGTTCACTTTTGTTCTGTTTCAAGGGAGAACCTAAATTGTAGTAATAGCAATTCAAATAATTCAATTAAACAGAAACATATACATCTTTGAAAGTTTATCCTTGTTCTTTGTATTTAAAAAAAGAAGACAAATTTTATAATAGCCATACAAATTATAAAACTAAATAAAAAGATGTTCATCTTTGAAAGTTCACCTTCGTTCTGCTTCAAGGGAAAACCTAAATTGCAGTAATAGCAATACAAATAATTCAATTAAACAGAAACATATACATCTTTGAAAGTTTATCTTTGTTCTATCTATTTCAAGGAACATAATTTATAATAATAGCAATACAAATAATGAAACTAAATACGATTCGACTAACGAATTACGCAATTTTCTTAGGAAATTTAATTCAGTAAAATTGCTTCCTTTTGTGCCATTTTAGCTCTATTTTGAGAGACTGCAATACTTCAAAACGTTGAGGAATATCATCATTACTATTATACTCATGTTGCAGTTCATTATTTGAAGCACACATTGAAGCAAGCATAACAAGCATAGCTAAGCATCACATTAGTATCATGGTCAATTGAAGAAGATTCATCACATTGAGACTATTCTATATGCGTCTATACCACAACATTGGCGTTGTCATAATCACCGTATTCGATATAGAAAGAATTTCTTCCACATCTGTCGTAATATTATGTTTCACCTCTGCCTTTATGGTGTCTTTAATGTAGTTCACTAGCTTTTTCCATGCTCTTCTTAGTGTCACACATTTGGCATCCATCCAAGAAGCATATGCCGCCATACAACAACAATCCTTGGAATTGCTTACGAAGTTGTACCATTCTTTCGTGAGTAGCATCGTTGATCGTTGACAAAAATTCTTATAGAGGAATGAGCTTGTTAATGCGGAACGTGTCGAATGAGATGTTCGGATAAAAGAGAATTCGGATAACAGGGTTTCGGATAATCAAGGTCATACCGTATTATTATCATTGCGCGTGAATTATTTTTATCCATAAAATTCATAGGACAACGCGTTTCTGAAGTTAGGACGTTACATTTTTTACAATATTATCACAGTTAATTTGTTGAACATAATAATAAATGTACGGTATAAACGCATATTAAGCGCACTTACAGTATATAAATAATGGTGTAATAATAACAGTCTACGTAATCGAGTTGAAACTTTTTACGTATTAACAATGTTGTAATTATGCAGCCATCCACCGGCTATTAATAGGTGTAAATATAAATTCTTTCCGATTGAATTCACATAAACGATACGGCCATTCAAATCGAAATATTCTCCCGCTCCTTTGTGGTTTTCCAGCGTTCGCAGACAAGTTTGTAGTCGCGCAACAACGCCGTATAGTCATGCAGTAAGTCGCAGCAACGTACATCAGAACATATTACAGTCGTCGCACCATAATCTTATGAATTACTAGTACACACCATAGCTGCCAGTAAACAACGTACATAGCACGCTATATTGTTTGCGTTTAATCTGAGGAAAGCTACGACAGAAGCCACAGAAACACATATCCTTTAGGATAGGAGATAGAACGGGGGAAGGAATTTACTTAATCACTGATCTACGCACACAGAAGCTTACGCTCGTCCACTCAGCCTCGTAAACTCCGAAGAAAACAACCTGGTGACCTTCTACTTTTTCTACATATATATTTGCACACTTTGTGCACATATACATACAAATAAATTAATTTTTGAACATTTTTTTACATACATTTTTTTTAATTTTGAATTTTACCCACCTTAGCATAGCAGTTACTCAAAACGTAACAAAACAACTTAGAGCCATCGATGCTACACGACTCTCCCCTAGCTGACTGATTGTCATCGTCATCGGCGATCAGTTATCAGCGAAATATACTTCTGCATAAACAGAATTGAAAAACTCATATCAAGAATCCATTGTAGGAGATCGAATAACGAGACTACAAACATAAACAAAACCACAAACAAAATGTAATTTTGTACAGGCGCCATCATAATATTTAGAAGTGTTCGTGGCACGTAGTCCCATTCTGTTATATCAATTTGGGGTTAGAGGTTAGGTCGCAAAGAGGTTAGGTTGCAAAGACTCTAAGGTGTCTAGAATATACCAAGAGGATAACGTGTCGATAGCTTTCAAACAGCAAAATAAAACAGCAACAGTCTTCTCAATACGAATTATTTATTAATACTTGAAAATGATGTATTATTTGTAATAAATTATTTGATAAATAAATAAATAAATTGCAAAAGTTATGTAATATTGCTTCTCATCTTTTAGCTGCTCGATGGTGTTTGGTACATCGACATATGCTTTACTTTTCCCACGAGAAAATCCCACGAGAAGACGTCCGGCACAGTTAAATCACAAGATCTGATGATATAGCGAACGTAACTTGTGCGAGGTCATCGTCATCGACGAATTGCTTTGATAAAATGTTCTATTTAAAATCGTGACTCACTTTTGAACTGTGCCACGCTCTATGCTATTAATTTGCCACGAATCCGTGAAACAATTGCCAAAGTGGAACAAAAGATGACGCGTCGTTCCAGGCTCGAGAGAGTTTCAAATTAGTCAGTTGTGCATTATCCACCCTGTAGTATTATCATTATATGAGTTATCAGGTATTATAAGTACATCTTAATATAGTTAATGTATTTTGTATCTATGTATATGCGCGCGCGCGCGAGTATGTGTATTTTAAAGCTTCCCGATGCGGTTTTCATAACACAAAGATTCTTCAATTCAAATAAAATGCTGGCATCGTTCATGTCGTTCTTTATAACGTTGTAAGAAAGCTAAGAATATGTGCCAGAGATCCATTGTACCTATCGTGCGCCGCGTGAATTGAAGAAAAACAATATTTTGCGAGGTTATGTAACAAATTCGTTCGCATTTCTTAAAAATAGGAAACCTCAAACATCGTTACTCTTATATAAGAAGTACTTAATTAACGATGTATATATTATTTTCTAAGGAATGAGTAACTTATTCGCATTATTATTTCCAAACTTTCGTTGTTTTCTTAAAAATGTTTCGATACGTGCGTTTTTAAATTCTTGGAATTATTTAACGGTTACTCGTGAAATAAGCTTCCCAAATGTCAAAACAATTAATATCCCAATATTAATAGCACAGTTACTGTCCCAACAATTTCTGACATTTATGGAAAGAAACTAATAATTATATAATCTGAAAGAAATTAATAATTTCTACCGTACGATGGAAGAATTCCCAAAATTTAATAAACAAAGTAAAACTGCTGTTTAGGTCCCGCTTCTAACGACCTTCACCTTCACAGGTGCCATCAAAGTGTTATGCCATCAAAGTCAACCTCATATTATCGCTTCAACCTGCAGAAGATTTCAGCCGCCGTTTGTTCAGCGCTTGTTGTTTGTCGAGAAGTTATTAATGAAATAATTTTAACAAGTCGAACGTATCTTATCGACGTTAAATACATATTTAATGAGCCAGCACATGGTACGTGCATACGCGTTGTATACTAATATTACCGCACTTACGGCTTACTGTTAGAATTTGAGGTTAGGTTTGTGTTAGGTCGTTCGTTATCGGCTGCGCTAGCCTAAACGATTTACGCATTCGCGGGAAGAAATGCGAAGAATTCTAGGAATTGGGTCGAAAAAACACAGGAGTAAGTTGGAAAGTATTCCAAACTTCACCCGAAAATAGGATGTGACTTCTGCCCGAGTGTTCCGAATATCAACGCGGAGAAATTCAAGAAAGCGGGAGTTAACTGCCAGAGTAACTACGGACTTTCTTAACTACGTTATCATAATTAAGTTTGGGTATTTTTACCTCGCCTACCCTAACCTAACCCTAACCCCAATTCAAATGAAACGAAACGATTATGGACACAGCATTTGTACCTGCCTTTGCGCACGAAGCGTCAATAATTTTTTAAGAAATAACGAACGACGTCTAAAAACTTCTGGGGTTACTGAGGAGGACGACCTTGACGACGAGTGTTAAGGTCAAGGCCATTGAATGTGGCCCCGCTAAACAGCAGTTTCACCACCGTATTTATTATTTTACTTACATGTTTGTCTGTTGCAATTAACGTACACGTATGTAATACTTTTTTAATATTGTCTTTTTTAATAATAAGCGAATTTATTACGCAATCTAATAGTCACGGACGTGGCAAAAAATATCTTCCAAATATCTGGAGAACATGTTCTGAATGTAAGAAAATAAAAATGTAAAGGAGTAAATATAAGAAATAATTTTGTGAATTTTTGTGAATTTCAAAATTGTAACGTTAAACGAAACGATGAAGCAAGGTCCGATCGTTCGTAACGATGTAATGTACGAGGCATTGGGATGTTAAATATTTAACTAAAGGAAAAACACGTTTAATTGCTGAACAAGTGGCAGAAAATGTATAATATTAACGAAACGCATTCTTCGCAACGAACAGTCGCCGCGTCGTTGTTAATTCGTTTTGATGAGATCGAAAATAATATCATCCGTTCCTCGACAGGACCATAACTGCGGATGAAAAATAGCTTCTGTATGAAAGCTGCACTCGTAAAAAGCAATGGCTATCGTGAGGTCTAGGAGCAGTGCTTACTGTGAAATTTGATTTTCGTCTTAGGAGAACTTTACTGTGTGTTTTATACGATATAAGGAATCATTTATTGCAAACTTTTCAAACTAATTAAACGTTAAAACAAAATAAGACCACGACGGTTGCAGTTTATAGCGAACAATTAAATAGATTAAGCGTAACTTCGAGAGATAAATGATTGGCAGTAACAAATAGCAAAAAATAGCGCGTTTCTTTTTTAATCGACGACGCTCAGACACATGCAAATAGAACGATAGAGAGAATTAACGAATTCAACTGCAAATTGGTATCGCATCCGTTACGCCCTCTCTTCTTCTCACGTGTTATGATTTATTTCACAAAACTTTCCGCGTGGCAGCAACTTTAGCGGCACGGGTCATTTAAACGTGACGTTGGATCAATTTTTCAATCTAAAAGGCGAGATTAACAGATTTAAAAGTGAGAAATTCACGTCGCAAAATCGCCGATGTATCGTCGATTGAAGTTGAATATCGAGCACTCCAAACGTAATCACAGAAAAACATTAGGCTGCTGCGCATGAAGCGACGGCTTCGTAAGTACGCGTTTAAATTACTACAATTTTGCGCGATGTCTTTTAGCTGGAGTCGTACTAACGGACAATTGTCCGCAGACACGTGTCGCAGCAAATCAGCATCTTTCTTTCACGGAGAGTTCACAGACGACGATGAATAAAATTCGAGTCCGGAGACCATTCGCGGATTAAAGTCACGTTCACACTGACGGACAATTGTCGACAGATATACACGACGGAATAGTGGAAGGGAGGGGGGAGAGCTCCGTAAAAAGCACGTCCGTAGACAAGAATTTCGTTTTCCATTCGAAATGTAAAACAAAAGACAACGTCTGCGGGCGAATATAGAAAGAATGTGCTTTTCGCCCCGTTTGAGAAGCAGCGATCCGTATATGTATTGAGGCAAGGAAAAGCGAAAACAGGAAATTTGAAAATGCATGCTGTTCGTCGAAATCACTGCAAAGTCACGCACCATCTCTTCCTGGATATGTCGTAAAGAATTCTCTGTAAATCGAACAAAGGTTAACTTCGTTCTTTTTCATGGAACTATATGTTTTTTTTTACTAATCAATCTGTCATGGTATTTCCTTAGAAGATAACCTATAAATTAACTTATGTTTCTAGGTCGGGAAACTGTCAGTATCGAACAAGAAGAATTTTCTGGCAGGGTTGAACAACGAATAAAATCATTAAATTCTGCGTTTCTGTTATATATTGTTAACCGAACATACGTGTAGCATTTTAAACAATTTTTTCGTCGTTATAATATTAATTATTTATATTTCTATGACACACTATATATTTAAAAGATACAATTTCGAAAGTTTAGGGTATTCTTCTTTGTATTTGAGAGGGTTCGACTGCTTGATAATGGTCATATTTCTACAAAGGTTATCGATTTCAATAATCCGTGTGTTTCATCTCCAACACATCGATAACCAGATATACCCGGATATATAAATTTATTAACTTAGCCTGTTAGCTGACAGCTATATAACACAGTTCCATTTGAGATGACCCTATTGTCGCCTTAAAAAATTGAAGGTAAAAATTTTCTCTTTCACAGTGACATTATACGTAAGACATGACAATGAGAATCTCCATATATACTTTTGCCCCGTCGCTTCTGCAGACTCAGTTGTTATATCAAACGGCGTTCATGATGGGACACCCTGTATAACGTTTATTATTGTCCGCAGTTTTCGATATCCGCGAAAGGAATTTGTAATTTTCTGATAGTCACTGATTATACTATCCGATAGTTATATAGCTGTAGTACACCGCTATTTTACTATACATTTTAATCCAAGTAAACTTTTCAAGCTCGACATTAACACAGAATAGATCATGCATTAAATCTTCCCTTTTCCTATTTTAGGTTCTAGCAGCTCCAGCGAAACAACCATGTCTCCTCCCTCCCCTTCTTTTCCTAGAATTCCTCTTCTTGCTCCTGTCTCACACCTGCCAAACATGTTCCCACGTTTCTTCATTCAAATCGCACAGCCTGCAATCTCTATTCTCCTCACTCACCCAATATTTGCTTTCTTTCATTCCATTGCCAAAGTAATTCTGGCCACCCGTCTTAAACTTTCTCCGCTCCAGCCTTGATCGAAGTACTTTGAAATCCCCTCTCCTTTTCACCATCTGTACTATCTGTTGTATCTTGATTTCTCTATCCTTTGCCATCTCTCTCTCTTGGGCTTCTCTATTCATCCCTACTAACTCTTCTTAACTTCCTTCTTAGCTCTTCTTAAGAGCCTCCTTCTCTTCTCCTATAGCCAACATATGGCTCCCTGTTCCCTTTGTCAACATAACCTCTTTCCTTTCCTTTCCTTCTTCTATCCTCCCCTTATTTTGCTACTTCTAACTTCTTTCCTACTCTCTTGCGAACATTCTCCTGCAAACTTGCCATCTTTTCTCTGTCACAGCTTCTGTTCATAGTTTCACCCTGCGTTTCCTGTTCGTGTCTTCATCAGATCCCTCTGGAACTCTTCTCTAATCATAATATAAAAACATATACTGGCGTCCATCAGTCCACCCTAACGTCCGGCTCAAGAAACTTTCAGTCTAATTTTGCACTCTTTCAATCACCCTTCTCTCTTCCCAATCCGAAACTTTCACACCAACTTGTCGAATGACCGTAACCTCATCTACCATTCCATTCCAAATACTCTCTTTCCTATCCTCTATACTGATCTCATAACTCTTACCGTCTTTTTCACTCTTTCCCTTATTTGTACTCCTTCACCTCCGTTCCTCGTCATCCTGTTCCCTGGAGTAAGTAAGATCCCTTCCTTGTTCTATCTTTTTCTCTCAGTCCATTTTCTTCGTCCTTGCTTCTACTGTTTTAAATCTTATTATTATACAAAAGGAACGAAGAACAAAGTAACTATGCATTTACTTACATCAAAAGAATTATGTGACTTATCGGTTAAAGAGATTGGGGATCTATAAATATTTGAAGAAACGGACAATTAATCTTCATCTAAATTTGAATAAATGAAATTTCAGGTCAGGAAAGTGATTGTTCTATTATCCGAACAGTTTTGCCTCCCCATCAGTGCGGATAATGGAGGCCATACTGTAACGAATGCTCGTTAATATTTCGCATTGCTTCCACAGCACCATGTCTCAATTTATATTTGTAAAGATAAATTATTCGAATTTCATCGGGGTCCGTCATTCGTCTTCTCTTGTTGCTAAACAAACGTAACCTCACTTTATCAACCAATGCGAAACGTGATGAATGCTATAGGATATAGGCTTTAACATATCACGTGACATTTGATATTTACCGATGATTTTATTTATGGAAGATCTAGTTTAAGTAAAATGTGTCAGTTTGGGAGAACTACGCATTTCATGCGTAACAACTTAATAAATTATATATAAATTATATTTATATTAAATTATATATAAATTATATTTATTATTTATAAATTATATATTCCTTTCGCAGATATCGAAAATCGCAGATAATAATAAATATTATACAGGGTATCCCATGATAGGTGCCGTTTGACATAATTGCTAGATGACAGAGATGATAGAACAAATATGTAAGGAAACTTTTATCTCCATTTTTTTATGTAGAATGTCACCGTAAAAATGTAAACTTTTATCGTCAACTTTATCGTCATCTCTACTTTTTTTTAAATGCAAGTATGTACACATTTTTTATTCACCACTTGGTGCATTTTTTCATTCTGTACGAGGTATTTGTGTTGGAAGGTAAGATATTTTAACTTCAATGTTGTCAGACTTATCGCATGAAAGACCTTAACATGAAATGTATATTAAAACTGTCGTAGGATATTGTATCTAACTTTTTCCTTTATGTTTTCCTTAATATAACCTTAAAAAATTGAAAGTGAAAGTTTGTTTCTTCGCAGTGACATTCTACATAAAGATTGATATTAAAGTTACATTTTTATCCTATCATGTACTATTTATTAATTACATCAAACAGTATTTATCGATGGACACCCTATATATTGTACATGCTGAAAGTACGTACTTACGATGCAGATTGGTTTATGAATTAAGCATAATAAGAAATCAACAATCGTAATCAATATCACAATTATAATTCTCACAAGCACATAATTTATACAAGTTCTGAAAAAACATTTACAGGTCTGTGAGATAGATGGCAAATGTATCTTTTACTCAAATAATGGAATCGTTATTAATAATTTTCACTTATTTCGTAATTGCTGCAAGTTGGAGCATGGGCGGCTACGTAATCGAGGTCCTTTTAGGTTATGAAGTTATCAAGCAATTATGAAGTAAATCCAATGTTGTTGATCGCACTAGTTGTCAAAAGAAATAAACGTGGGGGCGAACCGATGTATGGCTAATGTTGGCAGCT